ATCAAACACATTTTGATTTTGGAGGCATTAAAGAAATCTTAGAATTGATGAAATAATACATGCATTACTATTCCCATCTTACAGTTGAAGAAACTGAGGCATAGAGAGGTTAAATAACTTGCCCCAGGTTACATAGTTGCATATGAGAATAAATTCTGTAGCAGATTTTACATTTGACTCCAAGTTTTCTGGCTTCAGAATTGTACCGTTACGCCTGACTGCCTCTCCAGGGCTCCCCTCTGAGTGAGGACTCAAATGGGGCACGAGAGGGCTCTGAGTTGGGGAGGCTGTAGGGAGGTGAATTAGGGAGCTGGCTTTCTGGCCCCAGGTCCCCCAAATGCCAGAACAAGGAGACGTTTAATCTGAGGCACCAATATTCATAAAGAAGCTTTAGCTTTCTCCACAAGATTTGTTCTCTTCCATTAGAAAAGAGCGGTCTGGGTTCTTTTGCCTGAAATCTATGCTGGGTACAGTGGGCTGAAGGTGTCAAGGGACCAAGTGGCGCAGTCGATCTCCAGCAGACTTCCTGTCAGTAGTGTCTCCCTCTCCCAGCCTCAAGGTCTTGGAGTAAATGGGTTTCCAAGCCGCAGGGCCCCTGTGGTAGGTTCTTGACGCTTTCTCTGCCTGGCTCGTTGGTCCATATCTTGTCTCACCTCCTTTCTGCCTTCCAGAAACATGTACAGATCTCTCATCTGCTGCTGACCTTGCCTCCCATTCTCCTCACTGTTGTGGTTTTATTCTTCTTTATACTTTGATTTTGATGAGGTCTTGGGAGGAATTAGGAGAAGTGGAGAGGCCAATGCTTGTGCTCAGTCTTGAACCAGAGGACCTTTGTTTTTAGTGAACACAGTCAAGATTATAAAAGGATGACCACCAAATGAGAAAATAAAATATTTGCATTATAGCTGGCAGTGGACAAGCACTCACAAAACCTTAAGAGTGTGTTTGCCTAAAAGTTTTCTAAATGTAACTGAAGAAACAGCTGGACAAGTTTCTCATATTGGATTCTCAACATACAACGTTTTTAGAAGTTCCAATGCATTGAGGCGTATTATTTGCTTTATGAAGGAGTTATTCTTGCAAAAAGATTAACCACGAGATTTTTCCAAATTCCTTACTAGGTCATTTAGACTATAATTTTATTTTCACAATTCAGTGTGGATATATACATATTCACACAGCTTTTCAGCATGAAGTGAGATACTTTTTTTCCTCTGGATATTACAAATTCAATACTTGGAAAATAATACCGAGTTTTACTTTTTTATTTCATTCATTTCGATGATCTTGTTGCAAGACTTCTCACTTCTCCAATATATGATCACTTTAGAGCTTTGATTTAGTGATGTCTTTCCTGTTATGTTATTTATCTTATAATGTTGCTTATACTACAGTAGTATAGCTATTTTATTTTATAAATTTCTTTTATAAAGAGAGTTATACCAACTCTCTTTAGCCAGCAAATAATGCCATATATAGGTTGAGTACAGCAGAGCTCTCTAACCATTTTGCTTTCAGCATTTATGAGGAATGAGTAAATGGCCAGAACCAAAAATATAAGCCACTAATATCAGCAACTTAACTTTTAAATTTCACTTTCAGAGTTTGTCCTGAAGCTGATTTATAGCCAACACAATCTCCTACACAGTTTTTTCTACATCAGACATCTCTGGACAATGGTAATTGATGTAGATATTTATGATTATTTGTTTGGTTGCAGGGAAGAGAAACCTACTGCGGTCACCTCCAGAAAGCTGTGGTTTCTGGCGAGGATGCTTATGAAAAAACCCTGAACTTAGAGGGTTTGGGTTCTGAGGCAGTTCTCGGGGCCAGTCTGGTTTTTTTTTTTTTTTTTGAGTCTTGGTTTCTTTCTGAGTGTCTGCTCAGTTCTTCTCTATCAGCCAACTTTCCCCCACCCCACCCCAACTCCTTAAATGTTTTCTTCCTCTTCTTAATTTTTACTTGCAAATGGCTTTGACTTATCCTGGGCCCAACATAATCCTGTGACATTCCTCATCCCGCTGCCAACTTTTTCCTTAGTCTCCTGAGTCTACATTGAACAGAGAAGAAGCTGACATTGAGCAGAGAGGAAGGGACCTTGTTGTCTTTTGGAACTGGGTTCTGAGTACCTGGCCAGCCAATGGATTATTTGTTGTTAGGTCAGGTGTCCATCTCTGATCCAATCAGCTGTGGCCTGGGGTTGGGGTGTGGTCATGTAGGAAAGAACCTGATTGGTTAGGCAACAGGACAGATTCTCTTGGAAGAGGGTGTGGGCAAGTAAGACAACGATTAACATCTTTAATACAACGACCCTATGGGGTGTTTCAGGATTCTGAATCATCATCATCATCATCAACACAGACACACAGATACACAGACACACACACACTGTTATATTCTGTATACCGTAGTCAAACAAGTAACAATGCCCACTAGTACATTTCAGAAGGAAATTTTCAACAAGAGTTGACAGATGGTTCAGAAACACCATTTTTCCTGATTCCCCTTTTCCCTCTCTGACTCTTCGTTCTCAGTCCTTTTTGTGGACTTCTGTTCCTTTGCCTACCTTGTTAACTGCTAGTGTTATCTGTTATCTATCTAGCTGATGACAGGGTCTGTCATCAGCTATACAAACTCGGAAATCTCTCATCTGCTCTCCTGCATTTTTATTGAATATATGAATGAATGCTGATTCTTAAATCTTTAGCTTAATTTCTGACATCCCCTGAGCTTCAGATATTATCCAGATGCCTGCTAAGATGTCCTACAGGTACCTTAAATTTATAAATGAACTCGAATTTTCTTCTTTCTCTTTCTACCCGCCTCCTCCACCTGCTGTACCTGTCCTCCTCCGACCCCCATTCTCTGTACAAGCTGCTCATACCACCACCTTTCTAGTCTCCTGAGCCGGAAAAGTAGGGATTTCCCTTTCTCTCAATTTTCTCATCTAATCTATTGCAGAATTCCGGCCTATTCTGCTTCCTAAATACTTATAGAATCTGTTCTGACCACTCCACTTCTGTTAGTACTGCTTCAGTTCAGGCTCTGATGCTGAGGTTAAGAGCATTCGCTTTGCAGCCAGACAGACCTGGGTTTACGTGGTGGCTCTCACACTCACTGGCTTTCATACCCTAGGCAGGTTACTCAGTCCCTCCAAACCACCAGTCCTCAAACTTAGTTGCACATGGGGACCAGCTGGGGAGCTTTAAAAAAAACCAATGCTTGGTCCAACTCCCAGCATTCTGATTTCATTGCAATGGAGCGAGGCCTGAGCCTTGGGAATTTTAAAAGCCTCCCCAAGGGATTCCAAGGTGGAGCCAAGTTTGCAAAAGCACTGCTCTAAACCACAGCTCTCTCACCTGTGATATGGGGTAATGACCTCATGGGGATCATGGTGAGGGAGTAGTCAGTAAAATGATGCATGTATGATCTGGCCTGTGGTAAGCATGCTGGTTATTGTTAGGCAACGCCTGCCATCTCTCCCCAGGACTTTGGCAGTAGCCTCTAAATGCATTCCCTGCTTTAAGACCTACCAGTCTCCACTCTGATCCCAGAGGGAAGTGGCTAGCAGGCAAATCCGATCATGTCATTTCTTTCTTAAAACCCTTCAGTGGGTCCCCTACTCTACTGGATAAAGCCCAAGCTGCTTACCGTGCGTTCAAGATTTTGCTCTTGCTGACCCTGTTAGCTGTCTCCTGTCACTCCCTGCCTTTCAACAATAGCACTACCTAGAGTTTATGCACAAAACCTCACTGTCTGTCACCTTTGCTCATGTGATCCTTCTGCCCAGAATGTCCTGTTTGCCACTTCCTCCCAGCTGGCCCCCGCCCCCGTCTCTCTCTTCTGTCTAATTCTTATTCATCCTTCATCCTTCAAGACTGAACTCCGATATCGTCTTCTTTGGGACGTCTTCCCTGACTCCTCTGTGCAGACCCTGCTCGTACTGTAACATGTTGAATTGTAGTTTGTGTCTCTCTCCCACTAGACTCTTTGAGGACACAGCTTATTCTTTCAGTACAAAGCCTGAAAAATCAAAGTCCTCAAATTTTATTGAAATGAAATGGGTTCAGTGCAAAACTTGCTCTGTCTATGAAGCCATGCTTATATCTACTTTAGCCCAAGTTTATTTCCTCCTCCTCTGTATTCCTAAGGCACTTGGGAATTGTTTCATCCTTAACCAGTAGGTTGTAAGGACAGAAACCTTGTCTTTATTCTTTATAAGTTCTGCAAAGCCCAAGCATAGTAGTTTACTCATAGTCTTGCCTAAAAACACTCATCGGTTGCTGGAAGCAAATAAGGTTTGGAGGAACTCATTCAAGGATCTTGGGAAAAAACATTAAATGGAAAAAATCTATTTTAAAAAACTGTAAAGATCTAGACCTGTGCTGCCCAGTACAGTAACTACTAACCACACTTGGTTATTAAAAACTCGAAATGTGGCCAGTGTAATTGAGGAACTCAATTTTAAGTTTTATTTAATTTTAATTAATTTCAGTTTAAAAACTGATACTTAATTGTTGGAAAAATTTAAGTATGTTTGGAACAACTTAGATATATGAATCTACTTTTTTAACACTAAACTTCAAGAAATCTAAATACAGATCAAAGTTTTCCAATGAAAAGTTAGTACCTGAATCGGGATGTGCTGTAAGTATAAAATAAACACTGGATTTCGAAGACTTACATATAATAAAAAGAATGCAAAACATGTTAATACTTTTGTATTGATTAATGCTGTAATGATAATATTTTGGATATATTGGCTTAAAAATTAACTTTACCTGATTTTACTACTAGAAAATTTAAAATTAATATCTTGCAGCTTGAATTATCTTTCTATTGGACAGAGCTGATCCATTCCAACTCAGGTCTTTGCTTTTTGATAACCGTTAGGATGATGAGATTTCATCCCTCTCATTGTCTAAGACAGTTTTTAGTGACTAGTGGTGGGTGATTTGGTAATGGAATTATCTCTTTTGAACTCTTTTCTGTCAATGCAGATCACAATCCACCTTCTCAGCCCAAGGAGAATAGCATTAGCCAGAACCATCACCAGGAGGAAGTAATCCACAAGATGGCCATGCAGCTGAGAAACGTTGGAGACAGCATTGATCATAGGATGGTTCAAGAGGTGAGGCTTCAGTTTCCCCAGCAAGGGCCTGTTGGGTAGGAGGAAAGAACAAACAGAACAATGGCTACCAAGTGCCTGGGATGCCCAGGAATGAACAGAAGACATGGATTAATAGTGTCTGGATCACCAAACATTAGAACTGAAAATTGTGAACCTGAGTCAAAGCCAGTGTTTCATCTCACACTTGCTTCTCAAACTGTGCTCCATGGACTAGCCACATCAGCATCACATGGCAGCTGGTCAGATGTGCGATAGCTCGGGCTCCAGCCCACAACACTGGAATCAGAATCTGCCTTTCTACACACACCCCAGGGGATTTATGTGCACACTAAACTGTGAGAAACTTTGCTCCACACCCTCAAACTAGGATGCACATTGGAATCACCTGTGGAGTTTAAGAACTACAGGTGCCTGGGAGCCACCTCAAGAGATTCTGATTCAATTGGCATGAGGTGTTGGCTGCGCATCAGGCATTTTAAAAGCTTCCCAGGTGAATCTAATGCTCAATGAGGGAAGAGAAACTCTGCCTTAGATTGTGGTTATCCCCCTGAACTGACCCAGAGGTTACAATCTAAGCCCCACTTTGCTGATTTCGTAGTTTCTCCTGATTATCCTAAGAGGTAAGAAGGGAAAACAGGAAAGAATAACGATTACTGTTTGAAATCTTAGGGGTGATGAAAGCCAATGCCTGTAGTTGGCAGCAGAGAGAGATTGATCCCCTGGGGCTCCGTGTTGGGCAGGTGGCTGCCCCTCAGGGCCTAACTTCTTGCCCTTAAATTCCCCTGTCCTCAGATGATTTCTTGTTCATCACTGCTGCTGCCAGCATGCTGGCTTCAGGAGTGTCATGTCCTCTTTCACATTTTGGTCCCAATGTGGACCATCCGTGGTCTTTCCCTCAAACAAAACATCCCCTGAGACAAACCGTGAATGGAAGGTCCCAACAACAATGCTCCCGAAAGCAAGAAGGAAACAGAGTATATAAACACAAGTAAAATGTTTGATATACCAATTTCATTCGAATAAATATTTATTGAGTGCCTACTATATGCCAGACTCAGTTCCAGGCACTGGTAGCTAGAGCAGAGAGCAGGACAGAGATGAGCCTGTTCTCGTAGAACTCATAATCCACGAGGGAGACAGAGGAACCAATGAACAGTCTAGTCAGACAGGGATGTGGGCTCTGAGGAGGATTAGAGGGCACTGAGTGACGGAGAGTGACTTGGATGGGCGATCAGGGGAGGCCTCTCTGGGGAGGTAATATTCAAGCAGATACTGGAAGTGAGGGAGTGAGCCATGGGAACACCTATGGGAAAGTGTTCCAGGCAGAGGGAACAGCAAGTGCAAGGCCCCTGTGACAGGAACAGGCTTAAGGAACACCAAAGAGGCCAGAATGGCTGGAGTGGAGTGAGGTGAGGTCTGCGAGTTGGCCTCGGTCTTAGAGGTGGTGGAAGGTGTTTGGGTTTTACCCTAAATACCAGGGAAGCTTCTGGAGAGGGAGAGCAGGAGAGTGCTGTGAGCTGATTTGCATTTAGAATGGAGACTGGGTGCAGGCAGAGAGTAGGCTGTTGTGAAAATTAAATGACAGAATCTGTGTAAATCACTTAGAACAGAGCCTGACTCACAGAAAATAATCAATAAATGTTATCTAAATCAAATAATTAGTTTTTTGTCTTTGCTCTTTCAGTCTTTGGGGTTGCACGCCTCTTTGCCGAGTATCATTATTACAGCATCCTCGTGGTGTTCACCACGTCCCTTCCGTGCTATGGTTTCTTCCGAAAGTTCTCACTGATGACTGTACTTGAAGAATTCTAGGAAAGTCCTTAGTTCAGCTTTCCTGCTTCTTTGTCAGCTAGTTCTCTGAATACGTGTGGTTCCTTCTAATTTTTTTCTCTAAAGAAGAGAGAACAAAGTATGACAAATCACAACCGTCTATTTTCTGCATTTGCCTGAACCCAGTCAAGAGGTCACTGCTCTGCATAACCTCCTTTTCCATTTTTCTCTTTCTTACTTTCCCTTACCTTTTAAGCTGTAATTTACTGTCTTAAATTTACCTCTGCAGCTCAATAAATTGACACTAAACTGCCCCAGCTTTTCTTTCTTTCTTAAACATAACTTTATTGAGAAATAAAATTCACATACCATACAAATAAAATTCACAACCCATTTAAACTGTATGATTGCTTTTTAGTATATTCACAGAATTGTACAACCATCATCATGATCAATTTTAGAACGTTTTCATCACCCTAGAAAGACACCCCAAACCCAATAGTCACTTCTTATTTCCTCCCAGCCCCACCAATCTACTTTCGATCTCTATGGATTTGCCTATTCTGGACATTTCATGTAAATGGACTAGTATGGTATGTGGCCTTTTGTGTCTGGCTTCCTTCACTTAGCATAATGTTTTTTTCAAGGTTCATTCACATCATATATCATTTATTAGTACTTCATTTCTTTTTATGGCTGAATAATATTCCATTGTATGTATATATTACATTTTGTTTATCCATTCATCAGTTGGACATTTGGGTTGTTTCCACTTTCTTACTATTATGAATAATGATATGATGAGCATTTGTGTAGAAGTTTTTGTGTAGGTATATGTTTTTAAATCTTTTGCATGCGTACCTCAGTGTGGAATTGCTGGGTCATATGACAACTCTATATTTAACTTTTTAAGGAACTTCCAGACTGTTTTCCAAAGGGGCTGCACCACTTTACATTGTGGCCCGTCAGCAGTGTGTGAGGGTTCCAGTTTCTTACATCCTTGTCAACATTTGTTATTAACTGTCTTTTTGATTATACTAGCCTAATGGATGTGAGGTGGTCTCTCATTGTGGTTTTGATTTGCATATCCCTGATGGCTAATGTTGTACGTCTTTTCATGTGCTTATTGGTCATGTGTATATCTCTTCAGAGATATGTCTATTCGGGTCCTTTGCCCATTTTAAAATTGGGTTATCTTTTTATTATTGAGTTGTAAATATTCTTCATATATTCTAGATGTAAGTTCCTTTTCAGATATGTTATTTGCAAATATTTTCTCCCATTCTGTAGGTTGTCTTTTCACTTTCTTGATGATCTTTGAAGCACAAAAGTTTTAAATTCTGATGAAGTTCAATTCATCTACAGTCATGTGTCACTTAGCAATGGGGATATATTCTGAGAAATGCACTGTAGGGGGTTTCATCATTGTGGGAACATCAGAGAGTGCACTTACACAAACCTAGATGGTATAGCCTACTACACACCTAGGCTGTATGGTATAGCCTTTTGTTTCTAGGCTACAAACCTGTACAGCATGTTACCGTACTGAATACTGTAGGCAATTGTAGCACAATGCTAAGTATTTGTGGCCGTAGACATATCTAAACAGAGAAGGTACGGTAAAAATATGTCATAAAAGATAGAAAATGGTACACCTGTATAGGGCACTTACCATGAATGGAGCTTGGAGTCCTGGAAGCTGCTCTGGCTGAGTCAGTGAGTGAGTGATGAGTGAATGAAGGCCTAGGACATTACACTACTGTAGACTTCACAAACAATGTACACTTAGGCTACACTAAATTTATAAAAAATATTTCTCTTTGTTCAATAACAAATTAATTTTAGCTTACTGTAACTTTTTTACTTTATAAACTTTAAATTTTTCTTAAACTTTTTGCCTCTTTTGTAATAACCCTTAGTTTAAAACCAAACACATTGTACAGCTGTACAAAAATATTTTCTTAAATCCTTATTCTATAAGCTTTTTCCTATTTTTAAAATTTAAAAATTGTTTTTGCTTTTTAACCTTTTTTGTTAAAAACCAAGACACAAACACATATGTTATCCTAGGCCTACATAGGATCAAGATCATCAATTTCCCTGTCTTCTACCTCCACATCTTGTCCCACTGGAGGGTCTTCAGGGGCAATAACATTCATGGAGCTGTCATCTCCTATGATAACAATGCCTTCTTCTGGAATACCTCCTAAAGGTCCTGTCTGAGGCTCTTCTTGAGGTAGCGTCACTCTTCTCAGAAATGTGTCCATGGTGGTTTGCTTGGTGTGTTTGTTTTTTTCATCATAGATTTGTTTGTAAGCAGATAACACACCATGGACATTCCTCTCTGTTAATGAAAACCTTTTGGTGTGAGGGTCCATGTTCTCAAACTTTTTAAGAAGCCTGTTGAGAACTGCAACATCTTCTGCTAACCCCTTCACTGTGAATTTTCTTGGGGGTTCTTCTTTTTTCTTCTTCTGCAGTTTCCATTTCTCTGGCCTCTTCTTCAGCTATTTGTTTCTGTTTCAGTTCCAACAAGTCCTCGTTAGTCAATTCCTCAGGAACCGCCTCTAGGAGCTCCTCCATGTCATCCTCATCCACACCTAGGTTAAGGTTGTTTGCCATCTCAACGACAGCCTTGTTGATCTTTGCAACCTCTTCATCCTTGGCAAATCCTTTGAAATCACAGATGAACCTCTTGAGTATCTTCTTCTAGATGCACTAGGTGATAGGAATTTTTCAGCTCAATTATAATTTTGTGGAACCACTGTCATACATGCGGTCTGTTGTTGAATGAAAGGTTGTTATGTGGTGCGTGACTGTATTTTTTCTTTTGTTACTAGTGCTTTTGGTGTCATGTCTAAGAAACCATTGCTGAATCCAAAGTCATGAAGATTTATACCTGTTTCCTTCTAAAAGACTTATAATTTTAGCTCTTAAATTTTGGTCTCTGATCCATTTGGAGTTAATTTATATCTATGGTGTGAGTTTAAAGTCCATCTTCATTCTTTTGCATATGGATATCCACTTGTCACAGCACCATTTGTTGGAAAGATTACTCTTTCCCTATTGAAATTGTCTTGTTACCTTTGTGGAAAATCAATTGACTGTAAATGTAAGGATTTATTTCTGGACACAGTTCTATTCCATTGATCTGTGTGTCTATCCTCACGCCTGCCCTAGCTTTTCTGGCAGCGTTTTACAAAGCTGGCTTTGACCTAGACTTTTAAAGC